TCAGAGGGGTAGGGGTTAAACTTAATGGGCAGGCCCTGGTTTTAACCTCCAGTACCTGCCCTCCCATAGGCCTATTGTAAAGGCCTAACTTGTTCCAGGCAAGCAAATAAGACTTGCTTAGTTGGAGCCTCATCATGCTTGACCCTGGGGTATTTCTTAGTCTTTGACTCCTTTAAAGAGAATGTACACCTCTGACCCCCATACTAGAAATTGAACTTAAGGAGCACTAAGCTCCATCCCTTGTCTTTTTTTCTTCTTTTTTCTTCCTTCAAGATAACATCTCAGGGATGGGGGATTTAGCTCAGTGGCACCGTGCCTGCCTTGCAAGCACAAGGTTCTAAGTTCGATACCCGGTACCAAAAAAAAAAAGACAACATCTCAGTGAGTTGTCTGTGCAGGTCTCAAACTTGGGGTACTCCTGGCTTAGCCTCCTGAGTAGCTGGAATTACAGGCACGTGCCACCATGCCCAGCTTTCCTAGTATGGTTTTATAATTTAAAACTCTTGTTGAAGGCTTATAAGATGGAGAAGTACAGATACAAGGAGCTAAGAGTATGCCTACTTTTATTGATTTACCTGTTATACAAGGCAAAGATTTTGTGCTATCCCTCCCATAATGCTCTTTGCATTGTTCATAAGATATTTCTGATTTTTTTTCTTCCTTTTGATTTGATCAGCAAAGTCCGGATGAGCCTTTGAGGAGCAGAAAGGTGTTTGTTGGGCGTTGTACAGAGGACATGACTGCTGATGAGCTTCGGCAGTTCTTCTCTCAGTACGGAGAAGTGGAAGATGTCTTCATTCCCATACCGTTCAGGGCTTTTGCCTTTGTTACCTTTGCAGATGATCAGGTATTTTTCTTCTTGAAAATTTGTCTCAGCTAATTAGGTAATTTCTCTTGGATATTTCCCATCCAGCTTTTGAAACCTTGTCATTTTGGCTAAGCTTTCTGACTTTGTAAGGAGCAGGGTGTGTGGGCTGATACTTGTGGAGTACTCTTTATACATATTTTTCAGTATGGGGCCTTTGGGAGTGTTATGTATCTTTGGAAAAAGAACAGATTTTACTGTAATGTTACTAAAGTAAAGGCTGTGCTGGACGTTTAAATGAAATGAGCGTTTATTTTTCCTTGGTTGCCATCAGTCAGTGGTTTAATCTTTTGTTTACACTCCTTGTTTTTTACAGGTTGCCCAATCTCTTTGTGGAGAGGACTTGATCATTAAAGGAATCAGCGTGCATATATCCAATGCTGAACCTAAGCACAATAGCAATAGACAGTTAGAGAGAAGTGGAAGATTTGGTGGTAATCCGGGTGGCTTTGGGAATCAGGGTGGGTTTGGAAACAGTAGAGGGGGTGGAGCTGGCTTGGGAAACAATCAGGGCAGTAACATGGGTGGGGGGATGAATTTTGGTGCTTTTAGCATTAATCCAGCAATGATGGCTGCAGCCCAGGCCGCGCTGCAGAGCAGCTGGGGTATGATGGGCATGCTTGCCAGTCAGCAGAACCAGTCTGGCCCATCAGGTAATAACCAAAGCCAGGGCAACATGCAGAGGGAGCCAAATCAGGCTTTTGGCTCTGGAAATAACTCTTACAGTGGTTCTAATTCTGGTGCTGCAATTGGTTGGGGATCAGCATCGAATGCAGGGTCAGGCAGTGGTTTTAATGGAGGCTTTGGCTCAAGCATGGATTCTAAGTCTTCTGGCTGGGGAATGTAGACAGTGGGTTATAGTTAGTTGATACAGAATGGTGGGAATTTTTTCTAAACTCATGGTAAGTATATTGTAAAATACATATGTACTAAAAATTTTCAAAATTGGTTTGTTCGGTGTGGAGTATATTCAGCAGTATTTTTGACATTTTTCTTTAGAAAAAGAAGAGCTAAAGGAATTTTATAAGTTTTGTTACATAAAGGGTTGAAATACTGAGTGGCTGCAAGTGAACTGCTATTTGCCTGATTGGTAAACCAACACACTACAATTGATATCAAAAGGTTTCTCTTGTAATATTTTATCCCTGGACTTAAGTGAATTCTTTGCATGTTCAAAGTGAAAGCCATTGATTAGAACTACATTCTTTTCTCCTTTTTTAATTTGAACTCCACCATATAGATTTTTCCTTAGGAAAATCTCCTTTTGGGAGATCATGGTGTCACTGTGTTTGGTTCTTTTGGTTTTGTTTTTAACACTTGTCTCCCCTCATATACAAAAGTACAATATGAAGCCTTCATTTAATCTCTGCAGTTCATCTCATTTCAAATGTTTTTGGAAGAAGCACTTCATTGAAAGTAGTGCTGTAAATATTCCGCCATAGGATTACTTCTGTCTACATGCTTTCTCATTCAAGAATTCGTCATCACGCTGCGCAGGCTGCGTCTTTGACGGTGGGTGTCCCATTTTTATCCGCTACTCTTTATTTCATGGAGTCGTATCAACGCTATGAACGCAAGGCTGTGATATGGAACCAGAAGGCTGTTTGAACTTTTGAAACCTTGTGTGGGATTGATGGTGGTGCCGAGGCATGAAAGGCTAGTATGAGCGAGAAAAGGAGAGCGCGTGCAGAGACTTGGTGGTGCATAATGGATATTTTTTAACTTGGCAAGATGTGTCTCTCAATCCTGTGGCTTTGGTGAGAGTGTGCAGAGAGCAATGATAGCAAATAATGTACGAATGTTTTTTGCATTCAAGGGACATCCACATCTGTTGGAAGACTTTAAGTGAGTTTTGTTCTTAGATAACCCACGTTAGTTGAATGTGTTAAGTGAAATGATACTTGTACTCCCCTCCCCCTTTGTCAACTGCTGTGAATGCTGTATGGTGTGTGTTCTCCTCTGTTACTGATATGTAAGTGTGGTAATGTGAACTGAAGCTGATGGGTTGAGAACATGGACTGAGCTTGTGATGTGCTTTGCAGGAGTACTTGGGAGCAGAGTTCACCAGTGAGCTCAGGTGTCTCAAAGAAGGGTGGAAGTTCTCATGTCTGTTAGCTACCCATAAGAATGCTGTTTGCTGCAGTTCTGTGTCCTGTGCTTGGATGCTTTTTTATAAGAGTTGTCAATGTTGGAAATTCTTAAATAAAACTGATTTAAATAATATGTGTCTTTGTTTTGCAGCCCTGAATGCAAAGAATTCATAGCAGTTAATTCCCCTTTTTTGACCCTTTTGAGATGGAACTTTCATAAAGTTTCTTGGCAGTAGTTTATTTTGCTTCAAATAAACTTACTTGAAACGTTGTCTCAAGTCAAATGGATTCATCACCTGTCATGCATTGACACCTGATACCCAGACTTAATTGCTATTTGTTCTTGCATTGTCCAAAGTGAAAAGTTTTTTTTTCTTTTCTTTTTTTTAATCTAGTTTTTAATAAGTCTGGGTGACTACACGTAAAAATGGTAAGCAGTACCCTCTAGCTTTTTCTTAGAGCCTCTGTGCATTTGGGTGATGTTCTATTTACATGGCCTGTGTAAATCTCCATTGGGAAATCATGCGTTCTAAAAATAGTCTCATTTGGAAGAGTGGGCAAAACAACATTGATCATTTTCAAATGCTTTGTAACAAAGCATATCAGTGAAAAAGAAGGGACTATAAGTACCTTTGTGCTTGGGCTCTGAAAAGTGGAATTAATTGCAATAGGGATAAAGTAGAAGAAACCACAAATTACCTTGTGCCTGAACTCCATTAAGAAGCCTGATAGCTTTAAGAACTGGAAGGATGGGTTGTCTGTAGAAGTGTTAAGTGAAATGGGCTTTGCCTTCCAAAGGGGAGTAGTATAGTAATGTTGAATACACTCGCTTACAGAACTCAGATTAGACTCACAATGCATTGTTAAGGTGTAAAAGCAATGTATTGATTCCCTCTTGTACTATATATATATTTATATATGTGTAATTGCTGTGAGAATTGAGGGGTTTGTTTTCTAATTGGAAGAATGTGACAGTTTTTGTCCTGGTAGTTTATTTGATGCCCTTACCTACTTAGATTATGATAAATAGGTTTGTCATTTTACAAGTTGCGTGTCTTAAACATTTATGAATGAAGTCATTCTTTTGACCTGTGATTGCCACATTGTTTTGCTATTCAGTTTCCTCTGTAAAAGGATCTTGAGTTGTTTTAATATTTTTTTTTCTGCATCTAAATCTGCATGATTTCCAAACCCTGTACCATCTGAATTTTGCATTTTAGCATTTGCACTGTTACTCAGCAGCAGTAACATGGTAACACTTAAAATGGTATTCGGGGACCTCCAAAGACTAAACTGACAAGCCATCAAGGAGCCCAGGGGTAAGTTAACTTGTCAATGGCATGGTTTTAATCCCTTATTTACACTTGTTAAAAGCAGTTAACTGGTCACACAAGGCTTTCAATGTTGAGAAGCCTTTGTTTAACATGTGGTACTACATAGCCACAGCTAGTTATTCTACCCTTAAGAAATCTTAAACTTTAGAAGTATTTAAACTATTTGGCAAAGATTTGTTTTTAAAAGTCTATTTGATCATCTAAATGCATTCATTCTAAAAAAAATTTTTTGAACCACAGTTGAATAAAAAGTTATGTTGCCACCACGGTTTAGTGTCTGGAGTCTTACTGGAAAAACACAATTTCTTTTTGATACGTGACAAAGTTGCCTTTAAAAAGTGAATCTCAAGAAGTTGTACTTTATATGCACACAAGAAATTAGACTAAAACATTGAATTTTTTATATATATAATTATACCACTTAGACTGAAAAACTTTTATCAAATGTTTCCTGTTAAAACTTTTTAAGGATGAATAACCAACTAAAATCAAATGAGATTTTAAGGGTAAAATCATTTCGTCCTTAGGAAAAAATAGACAGTTGGCTCGTGTGTGGTGATTAGAACCGTCCTCACTGTCACACAGTGGGGTGGCGCTGAACTGATAGAGGTCTGTGCTTCACTGGCCTGTGGGGTGATCTGTGGTCTGGTGTTTGGCTTTCCTTTGCCTGAGTACTTCATGCTTACTAAGAAAAAAGCAACCTCCAGATTGTTTCTAATATCACCACTTGCTTTTATTGTATCTTGTGGAAATACCAGATTTCGTTCAGTCTAAAACAACGTTATTTTTAGGCTATTTCCCATTGCCAGGAACATCTTTACAGCTAAGTTAAATTCTTTTTTTTTTTGGTACCGGGGATTGAACTCGGGTCCTTGCGCTTGCGCAGCAGGTGGCGAAACCACTGAGCTAAAGCCCCGGCCAGCTAAGTTAAATTCTTAGCATGGGAATTACTAGATCAAAGATTATGGGTGCTTTTTAAGGTTTTTGTTACCAAATTGTCCTTTAGTAAGTTTATATTGTCTTTGATAAAGTCTGTGTTCCTTTTGTCTGCCCTTTTGACAAATGAAAAATAGCTTGCTTTTACTTTATTTTTATTTTTTAGCAGTACTAGGGATTGAACCCGGGAGCATGCTACCACTGAGGTGCGTCCTTGGGCTAACCACCTTTTGTTTGAGACAGGGTCTCGCTAAATTGCCCAAGTGGGACTCAAACTTGGAACCCTCTTGCCTCATCTTCCCTCAGTGCTAGGATTACAGGTTTATGCCAGCTTGCCCGGATACTGTGGCATTGGTTTTTAATGTGGAAATCTGTTCATTCCAGAGCTAAAGTATTGGTGTTTGCAATCCCACTACCTCAGAATGAATTTTCAAAGTTAATCCTGAACTCAGTACTGCAAAAATATGTAAAGCACTCTTAGAGATCAGTAAAGAGCAAAAAATAGAATATGGGTGTGTAATGTGCAGAAATATGACCAATCATTTTGAAAAGGTGCTGGGCTTTGTGAGTAATTAAATGCAGCTTAGTGAGTGAATTTATATTGAGTTGGCAAAACTTGAGTATCACTGTAATATTTGTGTCCCCTAAATAAGTAAGGGTGGCTTTATAGCAGCAGTAGACTGGGCCCTGCAACAGTCTCACCTTTATTTGGATGGGGGGGGGGGTCGGTGACAGCTGTACTTCTTGGGTTGCACTGCCACTAGTCTTTTACAGGTACTTTTAAAAATCAGGCATCATTTACTGATTGAAGACATGCAAATTAAAAATTATTAATTATGTTCTCGATCCAGGGAATGTAGTTAATGACTTTGGTGTATACCCCATACTGATCTGCGGCCCCACATTTAATGGAGCCCCAGGACACAATTCCTCCCACAAACCATCTCTGTGTCTCGTTGTCCAGAAACACTAGTGCCCCTCCACTGTCACCTCGACAGCTGTCCTTGCCCCCAGCTTCTAAACCAGCACAAAGCATGTTAGCCGTTACCCTTCCCCCTGGATAGTGCTGCTTTTCATACACAGCAGTACATTTTTGATGGTCCACAATAGGTAGGTCCACAAACATTAGATTTCTAGCAAGAAAACCCCTTTGGGTTAATCCCCACCCTGATGCAGTTCCAATGTCATTTGTCCTCATCAAGGATTCTGCTGCTTTCCTTGGCAGACAAATTGGCATGATGTTACTATTGATTACAACTTTGTTCTTCAATTTAATCAGTGCTATGTCATTGTCGAAACCAGCGCCATGAGTGTAACCTTCATGGATAAAAACAGCCTCGGCCCAGGCCTGTGTGTAATGAGGGGATAGTCTCTGCAGGGCCCCCATTCGGATGTCCAGGGAGGGTGCATGGTCTTTTTCCCTGTAGACGGCGTGAGCGGCTGTTAGAATCCAGTTGTCATGTAAAAGTGCACCTGCTCCTATAGTTTGACCTAGTAACAGGACTTGCCACGGAAACTCGCCAAGCTTTGCATTTTGCCCTCCGTATATACGACCATGTGTAGTACGTGTTGATAGTCCACAGGCTAGGAAAAGAAAAGATTGTAGCTTAGTGGTGGTTTTCTCACGTGTATTCCGCTTTGGTGGTGTGGATATTTGGTCGACCAAAAGCCACATCCCTTGAATTGGGTGGCCCCCTGCATAGGAGAGTGTGGGAGTTTTAAAACAGCACCATTCAAAGGCCTCAAATTCTTTTGATATTTCTTAGCTCCTTAGAAGATGAATGAAAGTTAACTTTCAAAAATTATGTTGTTCTGCTAAAAAAAAATTAAGTTCTAAGCTTGAGGGGTTTATTATCTGGCACATGGGCGTTGTCCAAGCTTCCACACAGGGTGATGTGCTTCTGAAGCCAGAAGGGCAGCACCTGCCACACTTACTTTTCCTTTGTAAAATGGGTTATTTACATGTAAGTCTGGGGAAGTAGCAACTGAGGTCACCCTTAGGTTTTGCAAAATTACTGTCACCTTTTATCATATAAATGTAAAAATTAGGATGTTGCAGTTGTAACCAGGACCCTTCAGGTTAAGGAATTGGTATTTTTGGTCTGGTTTCGGTTCAAACACTAAATTTTTACTGTGTCCTTATTGCAAACTAATTACACTCATTAATAGAGCATATATGTTTCCTGTTGTGGCAGTATACTTGCATTAAAACTTACAAACATTGTGTCAGCCAAATATAGGTTTAAAAATAATTTAAGCCAAATAACACAGGGGTAATGAATATATTATTACCTTTCAGATTTTTTTTTTTTAAATCATTCTCAACTGTTATTGTTGGAGCCAACTCGGCTAGAAAAAAATTTAAGTACTATTAAAAGGCATATTGCATTAATGTTTAAAAACCTAGATGTCATTGAAAACAATTGCTTAGGGAAATAATGAAGTTATTAGCTTTGGGTTTTAATAGCATTTTTATGGAGAAGAAAAGTAACAACAGGAATTCATGTTTATAAATGTATAAATGGTTTGAGATAATTTTAAAAATCATTTAATTTTTTATGCTTGCCTAGTTATAAGGTCAAAAATAATCAAATGACTAATGCAGCCCGCACCTAACAACCTCTCCTTATGGAAAGGGGTAACGAGAACATAGTATTTGGGAATAATAACTTGCCGAAGAGTCAAGTGCACAAGTTAGATTTTCTGCCTGCTACAACTGAAGCTCTGCCCGCTGTCTCCCACCCTGCTCTCCTTTCTGTCAGTCCCAAGTCTCTTTGTGTAAATTGCCCATTACCAGGTTCACAGACGGGGAGTGAGTTTTCTCCTTTGGAGCTCGTCCAGAATCCATCAGCCTCACATACATATTTACCTGCAAATCATTGGAAAAGCAAAACTGTTTAACTGCATGTATGAGTGGTTGTCATTTGCTTGAATCCCCCTTGAAAAATGTTGATTCTTGAGCATCAGTGGGAGGTAGAGATGCGTGATAACCGTTTTACATGATTTCATAAATAGGAAATCTCTGCATTACCATGTTTGCTTGCAAAGTGGAAACCTTTTAGATGTGTAACTTGAATATGTATCAAAATCTCAAGTGCTTAATGATAAGGTTTTGACTTGTTAAATTAAACCATTTGGAATATATTGGGTGTTTGTAGTAGTCATTTACTAGATAAGATCTGTTTTCGATTCTCACAAATTGACATTAAAGTCACTTTAGCTGTAATATTTCACTTAGTGGATGGGAGAAGTGCCTTTTAATCCTTTGTCTCCCTTGGTCAAAAATGTTAGTTTATTTTCAGGCCACAAAAGCTCAAGTTCCAAATATCACTGACCCCCAACTTTTAAAAAATTTGCTCACCGTCATTGCTTTTCATGGTGTAGAAGGTGTCTCTACAGCTGTACTGAATCACAGCTTTGTAGGTGGTCATGTCAGGGCCTGTGATGTATTCCACTTGGCCGTTGGGTACATCATCAGGAGGGCCGCAGTCAACAACTAGAAAGGAAATGGGCGGGGGGGTCCCCTTCATCCTTCAGAGCTAACACGGTGTCGCTTTGGTGGAGCACCTGCCTGGCATCGCAAGGCCCTCGGTTCCATGCCCCGCATTGCAGAGTAGGTCTTGGAGACCCATGAGTGACACTAGAAGGATGGCTGGGCTGTGTACAGCCATAATGAAGCCACACTCAGGTTCCTCTGCGCCATGGACCGTTTATTTCATCTCTAGGTGACAGGAATTGGCTTTAGTGTGATTAAGGTGTTGGCCTTGCTCATCCCGCCTTCCACAGATGGGTGGGTCATGGGAGTCTCCCTGGGGGAAAGAACCGGTTACTTTCCCTAAGGAAGGGAACAATTTGTTTTAGTTGTTTTGGTACCAGGGATCGAACTCTGGACCTTGCACTTGCAAGGCAGGCGCTGTTGCCTCTGAGTGGTAAAGGGGACAATTTGAAAAGCATGCATGCCTGTAATCCTAGCATCTGGGAGGCTGAGGCAGAAGGATCTCAAATTCAAGCTCAAGCTGGGTGACTTTGACCCAGTCTCAAAAAAGAGCTGAAGGTGTAGCTCAGTGTGAAGGCTCTGAGATCACCTCCCACCCTCACACTGCAGGGTGTGTTTTGCTACCATAAAAAAAGGTCTCCAGCGAAACTCCCACGGAGAGGAAAGAGCAAGTCTGGCATGAAACAGACTGAAGGACTTCGTGTGTTCTTACAATCATTTCCATAAATTGGACTTTTTAGAAAACCTGCCTAAAGTGGAGGAAGTGAAACGGCTTGAGAGGTGTTGATTCCATCATCCACACCTGGAGCTGGACTAGAATTCACATCTCTTAGAACATTACTAATGTGAAATAACCGGTGCCTGGCAGGAAGGAGGCCGTGATTTCAGTCTTCGGTCGTTTTAAAACACAGGCAACCAAGCGCCGGTTTTCATTAGTGGTCTCACCAGCCCAGGGCTGTGTGCCTGGCTCTGCCGTGCTCTCCTCCCCACCTGCCTTCTCCCCAAGCTGTGATGTGCTCTGCTGACCTGCTGCCTATGAGAGAATTCGGAGGGAGGTTTGCCATAGGTGGACGGCAAAGTGGCAGAATTGGGGTCCTGCCATCCCTGATCCAGGACTCCACCAGACCCCCCCTCCTACCTACAGTGAGTCCCTAACTTGTGAACATTCGAGCTTTGAACTTTCACAGTTATGAGTGGATCTCATATTACAAACATTGATAGGTACAAGAAATTGCAAACAGGCCTGGGATTTATTTAGCTCAGTGGTTTCGCTGCCTGCTGCACAAGCACAAGGACCCGAGTTTGATCCCCAGTACCAAAAATTGCGAGAGTAGCTCGTGTCTGGCGGCTGTTGTCAGCCGGATGTTGTCATAGCTGTGTGCTTCATGTACAGTGGTGGGGTAAAGTAGTACAGTGCTCAGGGCCCAGGGTGTCTGAAGCAAGAGGAAAAGCAGTGGTGATGTGAAGGGGACTGCTAGGGAGCACGAAGCAACACCATTGTGTATTTGTGTCAAAAGTGTGTAAGACTCACTTTGTCAGACAACTTGCGAACGAATCAGATTTATGAACATTCTCTCGGAACGTGACATTCCTGAGTCAGGGACTTACTGTACTGTTTTGCTTTTCTGGTGCTGGGAATTGAACCCAGGGAGCACTGAGCCACATCCCCAAGCAGGCCTTTTTATTTTAGTATCTTGCTCAGTTTCCCAGGCTGCCATTGATCTCGGGACCCTCCTGCCTCAGCCTCCCAGGTAGCCAGGATAACAAGCATGAGCCATCACCACCCTTTACTGTTCCATAACTAAAAGAATTCGTCTCATTAGTAGAAATGTAAATTTATAAAACGTAAGATTCCACTAGGGACTTGTCAGTGACAACCCTTGCACACACATGCAGAAACATGCTGAGATGTTTGGTGCAGGTGGGTGGGTAACAGGACTGCGCACCACAGCTTGGATGAAGCCAAGTGCGCATGCACAGTGATGGGGCCCCGTACAGCTGTGGAGGGAGGAGGGCAGTGTTCCTGATCGCCTGGGTGACATGGAGAGGTGACTAACATGGGGAGAAGCAAAGTGTGATCAGTCGGTTTTTATACTAGAGATGGGACCCAGGAGAGCTCTACTGCTGAGCTACACCTCAGCCCTTGAAAAAAATTTTTTTCTTTAAATTTTGAGACAAGGGCTAGCAGAGGTGCCCAAGTTGGCCTCAAACCTGTGATCCTCCTGGAGTGCGGTCATTACAGGCGCATGGCTCTGTTCTCTGAGTAATGTACAGGATTCTTAGTTTACAGAGTGGAAGTGTACACATTAACCCCATTCATGCAGTTGTGTACCTACGTGTGGTACAGAACTACCCCATCCCAAAGTGTAGCGTGCACATGTTAACACACGGAGCCGTGTCTCACTGGAGGATACACACCAGAGTAGCGACAGTGACTTCACTCTCCTCTGGTGGCGGGATGAGTTAATTAAAATATCTTTCTGTTTGCCATCTTTTTTTTTTTTTTT